AGATGGATTGTCTTCACTATGCCTGTCATTTTAATATCTAACTTCAGATTTTTCTCATGAATTTCACAGGAACCTTTGGAGAAGGCCCAGTCTTTAGCTCTCCATGGAGAACAGCTCATCCAAAACAATCATTATGCAGTTGACTCCATTAGACCAAAGTGTGTTGAACTCAGGCGTATTTGTGATGACTTTACCAATGAGACCAAGAAAAAGTATGATATTTTGGGAAAGTCTCTTGAGCTGCATAAGCAATTAGATAAGGTGAGTGAACCTTATCAGATCACAGCCCTGGTAAGGTTCTATTGAAAATGAGTGTTTTTATAAGCTCAGGTAACTTGGATGAAAAGAAAAAGTTGGGGTTTTTTTCTCCATTTCATTCAGAAACTGTTACTATAAAACCGGAAGCAGTAGCTTCCCATAATTATGGTTTTAAAATTACAGAAAGTAGGAAATAAAACTAAGACAAAATTGACCTAGGCCTAAATTTGAAATGAGGACCAAATGTATTCCAGTGTTTAAAAATGAACAGTGGTGCTGGTTTTTTGTTGGGATAGAGTTAATTCTGTTCACAGTAGCTAGTATGAGGCATGTTTTAGACCTGTGCTGAGAAGTATGTTGACAACACATTAATGTTTTCAGTTGTTGCCAAGCAATGTTTATAGGCCTAAGAAGTTTTGGGGAGTTTTGATATGGTTCAAATCTTCATTTAGGTTTTTGGATAATTGTGTGACTGAACACCCAAATGAGGTAGTGCAGCTGACATTCAATTTGCAGCAACTACAGTAACACTTCTCTTTGGTCAGAATATTATTTTACGTGCTACTGGACCATCTAGCCTATGAGAGCTGAATTGAACTTGCTATTGTTCTGCTTGTCTAGGTGGGGTGACTTGTGGCCAGGAACTGTTGGGTGCTATGAAGTAACATTCATTCCCCTAGTGATATGTCAGGGCAAATCTGTATTTCATAGAGTAGAGGCAACAGTTCATAGCATGGACTGTACATGAAGACAGAGTCCTTCTTGACCCATTTTTCTTTAAAGGCAAGCCAATGGTGTGAAGCTGGAATCTACCTCTTAGCTTCCCAAGCTGTGGACAAGTGCCAGTCACAAGAGGGAGCTGAAACTGCACTCGTTGAAATTGAGAAGTTCCTGGTAACAGCTAAGGAACACCAGCTCTCTAACCCGAAGGAGTTCTACAATCAGTTTGACATGATCCTCACCCCCGAAATAAAGGTAAAACCCCTCAGATATACAGGCACTCGCTTAGAATTTCATAATTACGAATTGCCTTGTACATGAGTGTGTACTGGGCTATGCATTTGAATCTGCTCAAATTGCCTTTTTCCCTACCCCAAAAGGGTATAGAGACGAGAACTTGAGGCAATAGTTTTACTCAGATGAGTACGTGATTTTTTTCAGAGTAGTGCTAGAAAGACTACATGAGTCACCATGTGCTCCTTGGTGAAACTGAGATCTGTGCAGAGTCCATGGCCTGGGTTGCATTAAACTGCAGCACAGTATGACCTTCAGCTCTAGTCTGAGTAACAGAAGTCTTTTCTTAACTTGCTCAGTCCAGCATTGACAACCTTCTGCTGTTCACCTTTTCTCTGCCTAGGCCAATGCCCAAAGAATTCTACAAAAACTAGAAGATGTACAAGAAATGTTTGACAAGAGGCAAGTAAGTCTGAAGAAGCTGGCAGCCAAACAGACCCGGCCAGTACAACCTGTTGCACCACATCCTGAATCTTCCCCAAAGCGAGCATCACCAAAGATTAACAGACCAGCAGGAGTAGGTAGGCCACGAACAGCTGCTTTCAGATACACAAGAATGTTTATTCCACGCAGTCATGTTTAATTTTTGTTATCACAATGAAAACTCGGATTTGATGTTTGGTGTCAGCCTTGTGGGCCCAGCTGTTAAAAATGAATGTGAAATATTTGTCACTGCAAACATAAAGGTGAACTAAAAAAAACCAGGCTTCTCTTCCTAGGTCTAGTCTGCAGAGTACATTCCTATACTGTTTCTCAGTATGTCTTATATTGCTAATTCTTTAAAACCCAAACTAGGCTAGTTACTGCCAACTATGTGCAGTAAGCATGAGAACCAAGTTTACATTGCATATATTGTAATGTGAGTATTTGGCTTTAAAAGGTCACAATCCCTCAAGTTTCAGTCAGATTCTGCAAAGGTTAAGTGTTCATTAGTGACACTGACTTGTTTGTGCAATTTTTGCCTTTTCTCTCTACATAACTGTTTATTCACTTCCTGGAGTTGTCCTCTACTAACTATAAAGGTTGAACATTGCTTCTGTTTGGAATTTACTCAAGGTTCCTGATTTGAGGCTAGCATGTGCCTTTAACCAAGATAACTGTTTTCTGCAAAAAGCAGCAGCTAATTTGAAGCAGTGCATCCTGGACATCAGTTACCCTTGTTGGCAGGGAGGGGTTGTCCCTTCTTAGCAGAGATGGTTATAAGAAATTAAATAATTGAATCTTATGGCTTTTTAAAAGGGGAACGGTTAGAAAAAAAGACTTGAAAAAAATCTAATTTGTTTGATGAGCAGTGCAATAAACTTTGCTTTCTCATCAGGAAGATCAGGACAGCCAGTAGCCTGACCATTTTGCTTTCTAGGCATGCTATCACAAGGCTACACAAACATCCCAGTTGTTCTCCTCTGCTCCTCACTCACCCTTTCTCACCAAGGAAGATCATCTTCCTCTTCCAGTTACCACGCTTGCTTGGCATCTGTACTTTTTCCCCCCAAACCATGCTAGCTGTATTCTTAACATACAGTTGCTACCTCAAGTTTCAGATTCACTATTGGCTTAAAGCAAGCTGAGACCACTGTGCTTTTGAAGAGTTCCTGCTCTGCTACCCACACATCCTCCAGCAATGTGCTCCCCTCTTTCACTGCTGTTGGCAGTTAGCTGTACGAGTTGTGATTTAGCTTGAAAACTCGATGAACTGACTGCAAAAATGTGGTACTTGGTTTTCCATTGCATGAGTAAGAAAAATGTAGAGAGCTCTGGAGATCACCTATTAGTGCTGGAGTTTTAGAATGGCTTTCACTCATTGTGGAACTGCATCTTCAGGCTGAAAGCTAGTCTTGCATTTCTCTTTATGCATGCAGTCTTTGTGTTTGTGTTTCTTGAACTTCTTTCTTGTCAATCTACAGCACTTGCAGATTTTTTTTTTAACTAAACTTTTTGTATAGATAGTGGCTATTTTTAAGGTTCTAGGATATAAATGACAATGGTTTAAGTTTGATTCTTGTTCATACAGCCAGCTGATACTATCAGCTGTTTCACAGAACATCCTGAGATGATCCCTTGCTCTCACCCTTGCACTGCAGTTCAGTGTTACACAAGACAATACAGGATAACAGTGTGACAAGGATTAGCCTGTTATGTCCTGTTGCAAATTAATAGGTAGATGAAATTTATTTTAAAATGTTACTCCAGTTGTTCTCTGAGGAGATACAAAGTGCAACCCCGTCCTGTTCAGACACTGAGAAGTAAGACTATAGCATTTCATTCAGATTATTTGGGCCTGAAGAAGATTGACCTAGTGTACCTCTGTACAAAGAAGATGTCCCCGACTATCCACAGCTTAGCCTGGGACTCAAACCCAGTTATGTTAACGCTGTGAACAGCACATACATATTTACATCTACTGTGTAATGGCATCCTCTGGCTATCACCCAGTTGTCCCCTACAAAGAGTTGTACTTTGAATTTCCTGACTGCCCTTTCCCTCAGAATGCCAAAGCACTTGGCAAGTACTGGTAAGTATTTTAACCTCTTTATTTTAGAAAGAAAACTGAGGCACAGATCAAGTGAGTGATTCACCGGGGGTTTCACAGTCTGAGTCTGAAATGGGGCTGAGAATAGAAACAGGGACACAAAGTCCTATTTCAAGCCTTGCAAATGATGCTATGAAATTCTGTTCTTCTTGAAGCTACCCTCTTTTGGACTTTCCTCTGTGCCTTTTTTCCACACTCACAGGATCAATGCAGAATCAGCATTTATTTTTGAGGAGAATTTATTGAGCGCCATCTTGGAAAATGGAAAGAGGCAATGAGCGCTTTCTTGAAACAGATATTGTAACTCCTTGTTATTTGTTACCCAGGACATACCTGAATATTTCTAAAAGTTTGTGAAATAGAATATGGCAGCAGGAAAATACGACGTTCTGAGTCTGTGTAAATACAAAGGCAATAAAATGCGGTAAACAGAAATAGAAGACCAGAAAGAAAGGCTTTTGTCCCCAGGCAGCAGATGTAACAATACCATGGCAGCATTGCAGTGGTTGCCTCTGAAAGGAGAAAAGCTACATTCGCTCCAGAATAGATTTTGTTTTGGTTTGACTCGCTGACTCTCCATTTCCCTGACAAGAAGTGGTAGGGAAAATTCAATCCAATCCAGGGTGCTAATGGAAAAAACTTTAACAGATGTGAAGGCTCAGGCATAAAATGCTCTATTATTTTAAGCGTGAGACTCTTCCTTTTACATGGATGTATACATAACTGCAGACAGGCAGAGCTGATACCGTCTGTGAGAGAAAGAGCAGGTTTCTGTCAGGGAAATGACTGTGCCAGGCTCTTATGTCTACATCCTTAGGGTCTCTGGTGACTCTTGGCAAAGTGAAGATCCAGGAAAGCAGCTCAGAGCTGCACTGTAACCTCTCCCTTACCCAATGCTTTTCTGTGGATGTGAAAATTCTGAAGCAAAATTTTAAAATTTAAATTCATCCCAGTTTTGCTTGAAGCTTTTGATTTCATAAATGAACTTGTAAATTTTGCAGAGACAGGCCTGTTCAACAGTGAAAATTTAGTACTGGAATTACCACGATGCTCAAAAGTTTATGCCAGCTGGACTTGATGCGCATTTTAGCTGTGGGAATCTGCTTAAATATTATTCACAGGTCAACAAAGAAAAGGCAGAAAACCCTTTTCTGACCCTTTTATAATAGGTGCCTTGAAAATATTTAAGTAGTGTATATGACACCTTATTTCAAGGAGAACTGTGTTTATTCCCTATGGAAGCTGCTTGAGCACTGCTAATGGCTAAACTTGTCCCTGTGTGTGTTGGGAGCAAAGAGGTGGCATTTGATGGGGAAATTCCTTTGCTCTGGTTCACTTCTGAGGGCATAATTTTTGATGATTTGACTACATATTTGTAGATTGCATTTCTGTACAAAACTCCTTAGCTGGAGCGAATTGGGACAGGTCCACAAAGTTAAACCAGGCAGGGTAGTATTGCCCATAGGTGGTCAGGCACAGTAGGATAAGCCACAGAGCTATAAAGGATCATATAAGCTATTAGGGGGGACTGCAGTTAGCATTTCTCTGTTTTCATTTGCTTGTAATTCTCACAGACTCAAACACTTTGAAATGAAACTCTCCCGAAGGCTATCCATCTTCAGCATGACACTTGTTGGGAAACTTCAGTGAAAAGTGGCTTGGCCATCTCAGTGAACAAGGCTAGGAAGACTGTCTTGTGGTGAGAACTGGAACATGGCAGTATGCAGTAGTTTTGTCCCATCTTAAAGTGCCCAGGTTTGGCAGAACTATAAGCACTTGGGGGGAAAAAAGTTTCAGTTCATACACATTCATGACGTACGAACTTGCTACAGTTTGGCTCCTATAGTCTCATTTCCTTTGTGGTCAGCCAAAATCTTTGGGACCCAGAGACCAAGTATGTTTCTTATCCCCTGCACTGCTTGTTTCCTTATAGTATGATCTTGCAGCAGCTTAAGCCCTTAATGCAGGGCTGCGACAGTCTGCCTTTCCCCTCTCCTCTGCCCAGCGCAGCAGTGTTTAACTGCCTTCCCGCTGTACTTACAGTCACGTAACCAGTGGGAACAAAGGAGGGAACTGAAAACTGTCACTGAGGGGGGTGTCTTGTTTTTGTTTTGTTTTGGCTAGTCCAGCTCCTCACCATCCAGTTCCATGAATAGCAGCGCTGACAAAAAGGAGGCAGGAGTGTGTGGCCAGAGGCTGGGAGGAGAGGGAGAGCTGTGTCAAACCCAGTTCAGATGGGTTTCAGTTGTCCTGGAGTCAGCCCTGAAAACATGCCAACTCACTGCTGCTTTTACCCCTGCTGACGTGGGAAAGAGAAGCTGGTGCAGTAGGTGTTGATGTTTCAACCCTGTTAAAAACCCATGTGGGTGTTAATGTGGTTCAACGTAGTGCCATTTGGGGGGTGGTGTTAATAACTTGTGCCACTACTTAAAGAAATCTACGCTGAAAGGCTGAAATCTGAAGTGCTGGGCAGGGCACGTGCTCTTCAACATGTGAAGTGGCCTGTAACACTCAGTAACCTGAAAATTCAGTTCTAAAAATGTAACTTTGGTCTCCCAAAGTAGTGTATTCTCTTTTGATCTTTATCTATGGAACACTGAGATCTCAGGGTGGCTGATAACAGCCTGTTAGCTCTGAGAAGTGTTAGGAAAACAGCTCAGTTAATATTTATGAAGCACTCCAATTGTAAAAACAGCTATCAGAAAAAAGACGATTATTTTCAGATCAGGGATTGAAATAGCATATGGACAATAAGGCTCTGGATCCTTACTAAGAAATACAGATAAATCAAAACAGTGAATGGCTGCTCATGAATTAACTGGTTTTGATTCCATGCACTGAAGGAGGCAAGGATTCTTAGAGGGGGGTGACCAAGATGCTTTACCAGGAAAGGGGCAACATTAGGGTTGCAGATATAGCTTTGCTTCTGGCATCTTCTGTCTTCTAAATGCTACAAAATATTCCCCTAGAGATTTCTTCAAGTGAAACATA